TAGGAAGCGAGCAAGCTATGGAAAACAGGGAAGGTGGGCTTGATGGCTACAACAGGAGACATATTTTTAAGGTTCCAAGTAGCTCAGAGCAGGGAACAGTACACGTCTGTGTTTGGCAGGGGTGGGGGAAGGTGGGGATGTCCTTTGAAGTTGGATATCTGAGTTGGCCTTGGAAGGATGCCTGGGGCCCTTGGTGTCTGGGGCGCTTCAGCAGAGGTAGTGGCATGTGCCGAGGCATGGAGGTTTGTGAGAGGTGAGCGGGCCTGGGGGGATCCAGGTGACTGGGGGAGGAACCCAGGGGACCGGTCAGAAGCCTGCCTTGTGGGAGAGCCGAAGTCCCTTTGCTTAGTTAGCTCAGGGCACGTTGGAGCCTCTTTTGTCTCAGGGTTGTGCTAGCTTTCAGTTTCCTGAGAGGAATGAGGTCTGGAAGCTCTTGTGTTCGACTGCTGCTTTGCACAGCACCAGGATCGGTTAGGGAGGGGAGAGTGGTAGACGAACGGAAGGGCCTGGGTCTGAGGCTGTTGAGCCGCTCCAGGCAGGCCGAGGGGCCAAGACAGCGGGTGACTGGAGGATGGAGGAGGGGGAGTGGGCTGGGGCTGGAGGCTGCCGTGGAGGGCGCGATTGCCTGCAATGGAGGCTGCTCGCCTTCGCGGCTCAGAAAACTGGGAAAGGGGTCGGCGGGTCAGCGCTTATGCGTTTAAAGCTAAGGGCTTGCTTACAGAGGCAGAAAACAGACTGTGACACTTTCTATTTAAGCTGGTTTGCGAGTTTTAACAATTTCATCATAGTTTATGTTTCCATGTAACTTGAGTTTTCTTTTTTCTTTTTGATGTAAAAGAGTGTGTTGAACATTCCGTCTTGGACTGTGATAGCCATGAAGTCTTCGTGTAAGAGGAAAGAGGGAGTTGTTCTACAGTGAAGGCCACAGTTAAGAGGGACGGGGATGTCCTAGGCACCCCTGTTGGTCATTTTCAACATTTTGCAGAACGGTATACGTGAGGCAGAAACTAACTGATGATCAGAAACAGAAGGTTATAGCTGCCTGTTGAGGTGACTCGTGGCCCATAATCACTTTCCCTCAAGGCTCATAATATTTTAGTAAGTTCTGACAGCTGGGGTTCTGTATTACTTATTTCCACAGTGTACATCTTTTCGTAGATGTGTAGATATATTTTTGGTAAATACTGAAAGGTGGATAACACTGTGTTTCAGGGTGGGCAATTTCTTTTCTTTTCCTTTGTTTTCCCACAAAAACATGGTTAATTGTGCCCATTTTGCCTTCTGTGTTCTGGGAATAGCGTATGCATTCTGTGACTTGCCATTCTTGCCTCAGCCTTGTTTTAGAAATTCTGTTAACTGAACAGTTACTTTTTCCATTAGGTCTGCACGCTTCCTTTTTATTTTATTTTAGCTTGTCCCGTACTTCTTGTGGTTTTGGGCTTCATGCTCTCTTTGGTTTTTTTAAACACGAGGAACGTTTGTTGATGGGTTCTTTCCTGTGTCTGTGGGCTTTCTTTCCTCAAAGTTGACTTCATTCGCTTTTGGGGGGGTGTGGCTTTGTAGCGTGGCTTCACTGTGTGTGTTCCACGTGCTTGTGTTAGACTTTAGCCACTCTTGACCTGCTTTTTATTCAAATATGGTGTGGGTAGATGTAGTATAATGTGAAGTATACTTGGCCTTTGCTGTGGGTTTTGTCACAGAACACCTCAAAGCCCTAGGGATGTCCCAAGTGACAGGGGTGTTTCGCTACTTGTGGTAAGCCCCTCTGATCACACCTTAGTTTATGCTAATGAGGTGACCAGGGGTGGGGCTCCTTGATAGAATCTGGGCTGCACTGTTTGCCAGAAAGGCTGGTGACTAGAGAGCTGGCACTTTCAGGCCCACCCTCTGATCTCTGGGAAGGGGAGGGACTGGAGGTCATGGCCAATAAGCCCCATTAAGAACTCTTCTTTTTGATTCTGATCTAGAGACTAGGTCTCACTGTGTTGTCCAGGCTGGTCTTAATCTCCTGGCCTCCCAAAGTGGAGGCATGCACTGCTTCGCCTGGCTACGTTTTATGTCTTCCAGGTTATTACTGGTACATCTGTGCCATTCAGAAAGGGCGCTTCACTGGATTGTTCTCTGGACAGAATGGACAGTGCTTACTGGTGGCTTGCTTTAATGAGTATTTTGCATCCATCCAAAAACTTCAGCTGTTGTGTTTCTGTACAGAATGAATTACCATCCAAGAGAACAGCTTATCAGTAACGTTGAGCAAAGCCGCGTTTTTTTTTTGAGTTGCAGTCTCACTCTGTCACCCAGACGGGAGTGTGGTGGCCGCTCCCGGCCGCCAAAGCCTCGACCTGCTGGGCTCCGGCGATCCTTCCGCCTCAGCCTTCCGAGTAGCTGGAACTACAGGCGGGCGCTACCACACCCGGCTCATTTTTGATTTATTGTGGAGATGCAAAGCTGTGCTTTAGACGTGCTGTCTCTTGCGCAGACGCTTTGTCTCCCCATCTGTGTTCTTGTTTCAAGCACCGTTGTAGGATGACTTGCCTCCCGTGCTTCAGCCAGACCAACAGGCTCATCTGTGTGTTGGGAAATAGTCCTTCCCATCGGCAGGGAGGCCACACACCATCAGTCGCTGCAGCCTTTGATTGCAGCCTCGTAACGCTGGGCGAGCTGCTGGCACCTTTTTTGGGCTGCCGTTTTCTGTTGGTGAGTTCGCGATAAGTCAGCTTTGCAGGAAGAAGGGCCATAGACTCACTCTGGAGAGAGAGGAAAGCCCAAACAGGGGCCTCCTGGGAGCCAAGCCAAGGAGTGCTTATGGGAGGGAGCGGTTGCCACGCAAGTAAAGCATGGTCGGGAAGGACCAGCGCAGACAAGTTGCTGGAACGTTAAACACTTACTAATTTGGGTAGGTGTCGTTGGGGGGAGAATTAGGAGCATGCGGAGCTCTTGAGAGGTTTTGCTGTAGAGAAAGAGTTGGGGAGGAGTCGGAGGAGAAATGTGTTGGGCTCTTTTCTCAGGAAGATTCCCGTGCGTGCGTGTGTGTGCCTGAGCACAGCCCCTGAAGGTGAGGTCAGTGGAGAGGAGAAAGGAGAGGGCAGCCAGAGCAGTGCCCTGAGTTGGCAGGATGGCGACTGGTTGAAGTGCCCCGTCGATGTGCGGGAGGCAGGCAGTTTGTCCACGGCGAAAGGCTAGAACGGGAGAGCCGCAGTCTGTGGCAAGGCCTCTTCTGGCTGGCCGTTCCCTTGCAAAGTAGAGGGATCGTCCTGCGGGGTGGGGGTACTGGAGGAGCAGGGACCGGGGTTCTGAAGAGAAGGATGAGACACCGAAGTCATGGTCTGGTTTCTGGCAACCCGGGGTCAGCTTCGGCCAGGGACAGCCGGCTGGCTGGCCGGCCGGTGCTTCTCCAGCTTGGAGGAGCCGTGGTCTACAGAGGAGGTGGAGAGTTGGCTGAGCCTGGCCAACTCTGTGCCTGGTAGAATACGATGAGGAGAGACGGGACTAGGGTTTTGAGGGAACAGGCATGGGGGGATGGCTCATCTCTCCAAAATATTTCAGAATGTGTCTTAACAGACAAGGGTTTTAAAAAGCCACAGTGGCCAGCAAGATGAAGAGCACTTCCATACTGTGAATGAGTGTTTAAGTCAGTCTTCAGATTCTCCGATCCTCAAAAGTGTCTTTTTGCTCCTGGTTTGTTCATGTTGGAAACAAGGTCTCCACGTTGCATTTGGTTTCAGTTACGTCTTACTCCTCCTTTTCAGACCATTTCTTTGTTGAAGAAATTGGGTCTTTTGTCATCTAGAACTTTTCCATATTTTGCATCTGTCTGGCTGTATTCTTGGGCGGGTGTGTGAGTTTATTTATTTTATTTTATTTTTGAGTTGGAGTCTCACTCTGTCACTCAGACTGGAGTGCAGTGGCCGCTCCCGGCCACCGCAGCCTCGACCCACTGGGCTCCGGCGATCCTTCCCCCTCAGCCTTCCAAGTAGCTGGAACTACAGGCGCGTGCTACCACACCCAGCTAGTTTTTGATTTGTTGTAGAGATGAGGTCTCGCCAAGTTGCCCAGGCGGGTCTTGAACCCACGGGCTCAGGCAATCCATTCACCTCAGTCTCCCAAAGCGCGGGATTACAGGCTGAACCACCGAGCCCAGCTGGGTGTGTGAGTTTAATGCTCAATTGTGACAAAATACAGAAGATAAAATTGGCCGCTATCACCAAGTGTGCAGTTCTGTAATACTGAGTATATTCATGTTGTCGTGTCCTGTGGTGGTGGTTTCAGCGTGTTCCTCTAGGTCCCCTTGCATTTTTTTCGGGGGACAAGGGCTTAGGTGCTGTGTGTGTGTACGTCCTGTGTCATCTCCTCAGGAGGCCCCTGTTGTCTGGTTGTCCTAAGGATGATAATGATCATTATTGAGTTTAGGCCTTTTAGCCTGATCTGTCCATTTAAAAATTTTCTGTTGATCCCCCTGTGGTTTTATTAACCATTGATGATCATTGCCTAGATTCATTATTTTATTAGAGGTTGTAAAGTAATTATGTTCTAATAATCTGATAATGTAACTCTTTCTGCTAATACTGTTCTGTTGGGAACATTCAGTCATCTAGTTTCTGCCAGAAATGCAAGATAAATACTTGTTTCTTTACTTTTATTTTCTAATTTTCAGGTGACTCGGTTTTTAGTTTTTAGTTAAAATTATGCCTTCATGAAATTCATAGTTGATAGTGACTCTATTGTAGCCATTCTTGTGTTGTTCAGATTGTCTTATATTTGGCCCCGGAAGCTTCTTTGAGCTAGCTCCTGTGCCCTCCATAACCACCATACCCTTGTTAACTTCTAAGCTTGTTTGTATCTCTCCTGTCCCACACTTGAAGTCATTCATTTTTCCAAAAGCCCCCAGTTCCTTTTAGGTGGAATTGGTATTTAGAGAATGTGATATGAGTGTCTACTTTAAAAAGATATTATTTTTGTTTTGTTCCTCAGAATACTGATTGAATTCTTTTACTCTTAATTCAACAGGCATGCCCAAAGAAAACTACGAGCCCCCTGACCCTCGGAGGATGTACACAATTATGTCTTCTGAGGAGGCAGCAAATGGAAAGAAATCACATTGGGTGGAGCTTGAAATAAGTGGTAAGATATGGAAGCGTAAATTGATGGTGTGGAAATGAAGATACGGTAGAAGGCTGAGCTTCCTAATGCCAAGGCATGAAAGAGGCAGTGACTTTACCTTACAAATGCTCCTTTATCTTAGAAGCAGGGAGGTTCAGTGAAAAGAACGTGGTTTGAGTCAAAGTTCAAAACCCATTCATTGCACACCGCCTTGCTATCAGTGTCCTCTTCTGAGTTTGAGGCAGTAACCACAGGACTCAATGAAAATGACATGTGAATTGCCAGTGCCTGGGGATTGGGTCTTCTAATGAGTTCCTTGATAAAATATTGTGCTTTTGCAGTATCAAATCTTAGATTTCCAGTGGGGTAGGAAGTGGCTGAGCTGTGTAGGTTTGGGATATTTTCCTACTTGCTTCTCGGTCTGAATTGCTGAGAACGGCTTTATTCAGAACACAAGGCTGGGTGTAGTGGCTCAACCAGCATGTTGGGAGGCAGAGGCGAGAGGATTGCCTGAGCCCAAGGGTTTGAGACTAGCCTGGAAAACTTGGCCAGACTTGGTTTCTACAAAAAAGTCACAAAATTAGCCATGAGTGGTGGAGTGCACCTGTGGTTCCAGCTGCTTGGAAGGTTGAGGTGGAAGGATTGCCTGAGCCCTGCAGGTGGAAGCTGTGGTGGTTGTGATTGTGCCGCTGCCCTCTGGCCTGTGCGACAGAGTGAGACTCAGACTCAAAAGAACACAAAATCTTGATTTTGAAGCAGGTCTCAAATTTCCCTTCCAGGTATAGTGCAGTCTAGACATATTCAAAGAAATACGTGAGCCTTCATACCCAAGGATGTCCTTCCACCAGTGAGCATGCAGCCACTTTTGAAATATTTCAAAGGTGGTAAAGGGGTTTTATTCCTTCTCAGGGCAGCTAGTGCCAACGAAGCTTTGTGTTACTCTTGGCCTGATACTCCTCCCATGCTTTCTTCTGCTTTGTCCTCGTTTTTGCCTTCTGAACTATACAGAACAAATCTTGTCTTCTTTCCTCTCACTGCCCTGATTTTTAAAATTTAATGTAGCAGACATATTGAGCATATGCCATGCGTAAAACATTTTACTTGCCACTAGCCCAGGCACATGGAAGATAGATGGAAAAAAGCCCACAGCCCCTTTCGTTATGAAGCTTGGGACAGTTAGGAAGTGAGAGGAAGGGCGTACACAAGTACATGGAACTGACAGGTGAATTATGACTGCCAGAGCTGACATAAAAGTATATTCAGGAAAAAGGAATGGTGGTAGCATTCCTCCTTTGTCAGCTCAGAGTTTCTGGTTAAGATATTTAGACTCAGGTGTCTTCCTTTGCAGCCAGAGTAGAGGTTGGTCTCTCCTGTTTCCCTCCTTTGATTTCTTTCTTTCTTTTTTTTTTTTTTTTTTGAGTTGGAGTCTCACTCTGTTGCCCAGACTGGAATGCAGTGGCCGCTCCCGGCCACCACTGCAGCCTCGACCTGCTGGGCTCTGGCGATCCTTCTGCCTCAGCCTTCCAAGTAACTGGAACTACAGGCGCGCTACCACGCCCGGCTAATTTTTTGATTTATTGTAGAGATGAGGTCTCGCCAAGTTGTCTAGGCGGGTCATGAACCCGTGGGCTCAGGCCCCTCCTCTGATTTCTAGAGTGCTGGGCATCACTAAGCCAGGTTTGGTTCTGTAGGTCAGTGTGGCCGTGGAGAAGGAATGTCTCTCTTCCCTCGCTGTCACATCCAGTCTTCTGTGCAGGAGCCCAAAGAGAAATATGTACTGTCATTGAGCAGTTGCTCTCAGGTCACAGGCCATCACTGCTCCCACTTTGCCCTTTTAATTTCTGCAGGACTGGTATGGTAGTGCATCTTTTGCTCCTTTCTTCAACCTGTTTTAGCAGTTTTTAAATTGCAGGTTCTTTGCTTATAAGGCACTTTCTCCTATCTGACAGTGTCACCTGAGCTGGGAAGTACTCACCAGGGTCACTGAGGCTTTGGGGGTTCTCCTCTATCTCTCCTCCCTTACTTTACTGTGTGTTCGAAACTCCTTGGTCACTGTGCTCTCCTTAGTCTGAACTTTGTTGTTTTTTTTTTTGAGTCAGAGTCCTATTCTGTCGACCAGGCAGAGGTACAGTGGCACGCTCACCGCCACTGCAGCCTTGACCTGCTGGGCTTAGGTGATCCTTCCGCCTCAACCTTATAAGTAACTAGAACTACAGATGCACGCCACAACGCCTAGCTAGTTTTTTGTGATTTTTATTGTAGAGACGAGGTCTCACCAAATTGTCCAGGGTGGTCTTGAACCCCCAGGCTCAGGCAATTCTCTCGCCTCAGCCTCCCAAAGTGCTGGGATTACAGGCTGAGCCACCTCACCGGCCACTTGTCACCTTTTTCACAATACAGCTGAAAGTTGCAGACATATCCAGTATTTGCCTCAGATACCACTCTGACTGACATTCCGTATTTTTATTTGGGTTATAAACCAATTATGTGTTATACCTATCTATATAATATATATATATATATATTTGTTTACATTGCATCATTTCGTCACTGTCTCACTATCATTAGTAAGTTCAGTGGATTCACCTTTGACCTTGGGAATCTCATCAGCATATATTTCTTCATTTTGCATAATTATGGCAAATTATTTCTAATGTTGAAGTATGAAAGTCCTGAAATATCAAAATTTAAGTATACAGCACTAATCACAGCAAAATAATGACCAACTTGCAATTTTTACCAACTTTGTAAATCAGTAACAACATTGCGCAGTTGATACCAGATAATTAGCTCAATTAAGTTTCTCCTTGGCTTACTACTCATTTTCAAGCAAAACATAGCAACACATACATATGGCATCATTGCAGCATTCAGAAACAGAATTTGCAAAGACGTAAACTCATGTCGGCGGCAACCAGAAACAATTTGGAATAATGTAAATTCACGTCAGTGGTTGCGAATGAGTTAAGGTTTATTTACAGTAGCAAAAGCGTGGAATCAACTGTGCTGCCTATCATAACTGGGCTGGATTAAAAAAAAAGTGATAACATATACATGATGGAATATTACACTGCCATGAAAAGCAAAGTCAACTGTGCTGCCTATCATAACTGGGCTGGATTAAAAAAAAGTGATACATATACATGATGGACTATTACTCTGCCATGAAGAGCAAAATTACGAACTTTGTGGCAACTTGAATGGATTTAGAGTCTATAATACTTAGTGATTTATCACAGTAACAAAGAGCTGAGTACCACATGTTCTTACTCATAAGTGGACCCTAAACATTCACCATAATGCTATAAGAAAGGGATTGGCAGTAGCCGAAAACCGCCAGGGGATGAAGGGGAGGGGCGCATAACGTTAGTGAGGGGACCTGATCTCAAACCAGGCAAAGTGGGGATTGAAGGGAGGCCCAGACATGACCTGTACAATGACCACTTGTATACCTAATCCTGAATTGTATCCATGTCTTTTTTTTTTTTTGAGTTGGAGTCTCACTCTGTCGCCCAGACTGGGGTGCAGTGGCATACTCAAGGCCACCCCGGCATTGATCTGCTGGGCTCTGGTGATCCTTCTGCCTCAGTCTTCCAAGTAGCCAGAACTACAGGCATGCGCTACCATGCCCGGCTAATTTTTTGTTTATTGTAGAGACGAGGTCTCACCAAGTTGCCCAGGCTGATCTCGAACCCGTGGGCTTAGGCAGTCCACTCGTCTCAGCCTCCCAAGGAGCTAGAATTACAGGCTGAGCCACTGAGCCTGGCCTACCCCACATCTTTAAAATAAAATACATTAAAAAAAAATCCCACGATCTTAAGATCTAGGGATCTGAGGTCGTTGAATCCTAGACCTGCGGTTAGCTCTTATGCTGTTCTGGTTCTGGGGCATGGGCAGTGAGTTCCTTGTACCATTTGGAGGTAACCAGATGAGGCGGATCACTCTTTACTTATTCACTTTTTAAGGAAAACCTTTTTAGTACAGTGAAACACATAAACTACACAGACAGTATATTGACAAATTATTGTAAGGCCAAAAGCCTTGCAACTACTACCCAGGTCAAAAATTAGAACTTTTTCACTTTACCCAGAGCCCTCTCCAGAGGCCACAGACAGTCGCTCCCCAAGGTGACCATCACCCTGACTTTTATAATAATGTCTTCCTTGTGTCTTTTACATTTTAACACCAAGTTGTATATACCGAAGTACTACAGTTTGGTCTTTCCTCCTTTCACTTGGTTTAGTGTGTAGTGCACCCTCTCTCTTTCTTTTCCTTGCCGTTCATCTACTGCAGAGCGTGGGCGACTGGCCTGTCCTTTCCCACAGTCTTTATTCTGCTGATGGCATGCACGTCGTTCAGTTCTGTGTGTTTTTTGTCCTCAGTATGTCCTGCAGGTAGGCCAGTGGGGCTAGAAGCTTGACCAGACGAAGGGTGAAGCCCTTAGGCAAGACTTGTGGTAGAGTGGGCAGCTTCAGCATGGTCTGAATGCCTTCTTTACTGTGGAGTTCATTGCCAAGTGCTGGTAATTTGTTCACTATTCATTAGCTGAGATACATTTATGGAGAGACACTTAGCTTCATTTACTGTTTGATTATCTAATGTGCAATTTATAGAGGAAAGGCAGAAGAGAATGCCTCCTTTCTTTTTATTAGTTTTTAAGATCCTTTGAGGATGACCAAGGAGCTTTTTGTAAGTGTCATTATCAACTAGCATATTTAAACTCTTGGGTTTCGGACATTGGTGATGGGGTGCGATTGCCACCTGTGTTGACACTCAAGTTGTCCTGCTGTGCTCCGGGAGGGCCTCTTCTGTTGACTTCTGAGCTCTCCCGCGTAGTCCTTGTTGTCTCTGGGTCCTTGCTGTTTGGTAAAACAAGGCTTTCTTGGCTCGTTTTGTTTATTTCCTGCCTTAAAACTGTAGTAAGCCATTTTTTCCTGGAAGTCTTGCTTTTTTTTTTGTAAATTGGAAATGTTAAGACCACGATCCATGTGCTAGGGATGTTCATTGCTATTAGATTGGCC